ATAGTCTGAATTTGCTGCATTGATAGATAGCTGAGAAGTCAGGTTTTGTGGAACCAATTGTAACAAATTTACAGCAATACTAATAGCCAGGGAAATACTGCTAAATTATCTAGATTAACAAGGAAATATATTTAATTTTTAATGAAATAAATTTATAAGAGATCAGACGGGCAGGTGATGCCTGCAATTTTACCAAGCCAGTATATGAAATGTAAAAACGGAGTTGAAGTGAGATGATCACTCCCCCACAGTTAAATACAGCACTTGATTGCTCATCTGTGTGTATTGTGCAGGATTTAAACAATTTACATAACAGTGCATTACATAATAAACGATAGTTTTCACAGGTTGCAGTGTTAATTGTGGTCTACTGGACATCCCCATCGCTCGTAAACAGCAACCTGTAGTGCAAAGGGGTGATGTCATGGTTCTTGAAATGCACTCAAGGATTCTTATTTTAGGAATGCAAATTCTCTCATTGTACCAAAACGTATGCATCCAGCAGTGTAAATGTTCCTAAGTGCCGTGGTACAGATTTCAACACGGGGTACTTTATAGATGTGTGTTCATATCTATCTATAGAGTTGCACATTGTGTTTTATATGTACTTTGATATCAAAAGGCTAATCTGAGGTTCAAGTGGTGTGCTCGTTCCTACCTTATGTACCAGCCTTTCAAGTAGTATTGCTTTCACATTCTTAGAGGTTTAAAATTTATTTTTTCTTTACCAGCTTTTTTCTTTTTTCTTTTTTTTAATAAGGGATATGGATAGAAATATTGCCATGCATTGTTGCAGTAAATATTCGCACCTATCTCTGCAGGTCTGGTCTGCAACTTCAGTGCAGTTTGAAAACGTAATCTGCTGGCAATGATGTGCCCAAAGTTAATCAGAATTTGTGGAAGGGAGATTGTTTCATCCTACAGTGTGTAGTCCTGACCTGGATAAAATTGACAAAAGGAAAAAAATAATAGGAAGTGAGGGGGGGGAAAAAAAAGGATAATAGAATGCTTCAGTGATGAAAGTCTCTGGATCCTAGAGGAGGCTTTTGTTTTATTTGGGGGGGGATGTGGAGAGTGGGCAAGGAATTATCACTGACCATGGTTATTAGCTAGAAGAAATCCTAACTGCACATTATACTCATTCTTGAGAACATGAATGTTTAATATAAAATCAAGCCGAATATTCAAGTGCTTAAACCAGCATGCATATAAGCTGCTAAGAAATTGAATTCTTAGTGCTCTGCAGGTAAAACACTATCAATTTTTGCCAACATGAATATTTTATCTTTTTTCTTTTACTGGTTTGATTTTTGGCCTTAAATCAGCAAGAGAAGTTCAGTTGTTAACATTTCAGGCTGTCTTCAGAATTTTATTATTTGAAGAAAGCAAGAACAAATGTGTGAGTATCAGCAGCGTGCAGAGCAGTGCTGCGATATTGTTCTGTTCTGCCTTTAAGCAGGTGGTTTCTTGTGGCAGGCTGGAAGAGAGATTCTTTTTCTTCCCAGCTTTTGACAAAAAGATGACGCATATGTCTCAGAATTAGAAGGGGAAATCTGCCAGTTTGCATCAGTTCCTCAACTTGTGGGTTGCTTTTCACCACAAGGAAAATTGGTATATTCGCACCAGTGCTTCTTGAGAGATGAGGAGTAATCATTTCCTTCAGAAAGTGTAGGATGGTTGGAGTAGGCCCTTCATATGTTACACTAGGCTTTTCCTACAAGATATCTTTCAAGTATATTAAATATTTAGGAAGAAAAGAAAACAAAGCATGTTCCTAAATGCTGCTTTTAATGCTTGAAATGCATGGGATCATGCATCTTATAACTTAATGCAGAGTAAAAGCAGAGAAACCTGCTTCCTTTTGAAAATGCTGAGCTTTTCTTCTGCTCAAAAAAAAGCCCTGTAGATCTCCATAGCTGAAAGGTAAGTTGTTTTGCTTTGTTTTTAACCTAATCCTATATATCTCAGTCTCCAGTTCCAGCCTTAAATTAAATCAGTAGGACTGGGGGGAAAAAATTAAATACAGTGAATTTGAGAGCTAAAGGTATCTGCTTTGTTGGGAAAGCATTTAATATGAAGTAAGGAAGCTCTAATTTTCTACAACATCATGCTGTAGACCTGCAGGAGAAGGGGAAAAAAAAAAAAAAAAAGGCAGTAGCTTATATGAAAGAATCTGAATTACCACTGAGGTTTGGGATATGGGGGAGCGAGTTCTCACAGTACTGAGGTTTGCTCAAAGGGTGTACTGCTAACTGGCTATTTATTTCAAAAATAATATTTTTTTGTTAAAAGCTGGGTGCTGATTGTTAAGATATTGATATCTTTTTGTTTCGTGGCTATTTATTAAGCATTTGATAGGACTGATAGTACCACTCAATTTCTCAACTGCTACTGTGGTTTTAGGCATTGGATTTTACATTTTTTCTTAATATATTAACTTCTGGTTAATTCAGTATGGTTTTACTTTAAGCTCGTTAGTGAAATATTGAAAATCTAGCTTAATATAAAGCCTTAGGAGGTACCCAGCATCCTCATCTTTTTTTTCTTTTTTTTTCTTTTTTTTTTCTTTTCTCTCAAGTGGATGAAATTCCTTTCATTTAGCAAAACTCTTGTTTAGGGCATATCCCAAACACAGCTTGTTTTCTAGCTGTAGAAATGAACTTCACTGTTTAGCAGTCAGCCTTAGAAAGCACTGTATTCCTGTGCACTAGCTCAGTCTGTGAGTCATGGGTCTCGCTGATGGGGGAGTGGGTAACAAACCCATAAATGTTTTTGAATGGGAGTATTCATGTGTGTGTGCTTGTGTGTGTGCAAATAGATATCTTTTGTATGAATAAGGGGGGGAGGGAAATGATCAGCCTTCCATCAGGGCTGCTGCTGCTCCTGTGTATTTCTTCAGCTACTGTTGACTGAAGGAAAAATAAGTAGGTAGTATGACCAGAAACCTGGTACCCCAAAGGTGTTAAAGGCACCCGAAGCTTCTGCTCAAGTGACTGCTTAAATCATGAAGCTGCAGAGATGGAGGCAAGGGCTGGGAGAATTACAGCAGTTGCCGGTAGGTGTTCCCCTGATGTTAACTAGAGGATTCCATTAACAGTTGAGTCAATCTCTTCTAACAGCAGTTTTACCTTTCATAAGTCATACATTGTCTGGCATTTCATAGAAGTCGTGTAGTGATGATGTCAAGAGACAGAAGATAAAGACAAATTTACTGTCTGGGCCAGAAGGCAGGCTCACAAGAGGCAACTTCTTTCAGGACACGAAAAGCTCTTTGTTCTGTGGCCTTGGTCTTTCTGTGCTTTGACCCTTATTTTACAGCGTTGTCACTCTGACCCTAAATCTTTTAGAAGCAGGCGGGCAGCAAATGTAGCCCTCTACAAGTGGGGTTGCATTCTGAGCTACGGGCTTGGTTCTCTGTCTTCAGGCATTGTAGTTCTTCACAATTCAGAGAGGCAGCAATTGAAAATTAAAGATGGGTGCTGTTGTCCAGAGCGAGTAGGATTGCATAGCAGGGTCATGTTGAAAAATATATTCACTTCTGTACATTTTGCTTTACTGCCATCCTATGAGTCCTTATGATTTATCAATTTCAGATAAGATGGCAACTGGGAGGGCAGCCTGACTAAAGCTAATTATTTTCCCCTTTCCCAGCAGTAATGCTGGGTAACTGATCCTCCTGTAGAGGATAGGAAGAGCTTTGGTGTAGATGTTAGAGTTAAAATACTTGAACAGCAGTACCTGCTTGCCTTTCTTTCACAAAAGAGTGAGTGCCAGCTTAGAAGAGCACAGTGTTTTACATCAGGCCTGTGTCTGCTGCTTGGGCTAAAAGAAAAAGCCTGGTGAGAATTTGGGTGGGGAAAAGGGAACTTCCTTTTTTTAATTTAAGAAAGCTAGAAAAGAATGGAAAGGACAAAAACCTAAAAGCTTGCTGAGATACTCTGAATCTTTATCATTTACCTTTATTCTTTTATGGGGCAAGCTAGGAAAAATGTGATATATTTAAGAGGAGAACCTGTTCCTCTGTCTTAATAGCTCTTCACTCTACATTGTGGGGATTTTGTTATTTTGGCAATTCTTCTGTTTTCTCCTTTACCACGGAAGTTCTACATGTGAGGTTTCAACAACTTAAACTGTAAAAATAGGACAATCTTTTCTGGGGGTAACAGTGTAAATATCTAAAAATGCACATTTATTGGAGAATTGGAATAAAAAGATTTTTTTTTTAATCTTAAAGGATGTTGTAAAAAAAACTTTCAATTAAGAGAGAAAAAAAAAAAAAAAAAGACATTTAGAAATTGAATTTTGTTTCAAGGTGATCCTGGCTTTCTTTTTGGTAGATTCTACAGACCAGGTATTGATCTGTTTGTGATGAAAATTTGGGGGGGGGGGGGGCCAGGGAGGGAGGAAGGAAGGAAGAGGCATTTTAATAACTACTGTAGTAACATATAAAACACAGCTACCTAGAACACAGAAAATAGTGTATTTCTTTTTCTAATTTTGTATGTGTCCTCTCAAGCAGAAAGAGTACAGATTGAAAGTGTTCGCACAGTTTTCCTCTTGTGTGTATGCCAAAGGTGCAGAGAAGACAGATTTTTAAAAGTTGTCTGCAAGCTGCAGCAGTGCAAAGAAGGAGGGATGTGGGAAGCTATTCTGAAATACAACTTTTCCAAACGCTGTTGGGACACAAAGCTTTGTTACACTTCATGAGTTCACATTAAAATACCTCATATAGAAATATAGTTAATGCATCAACATCTGACAAAACACTTTTGAGAAGCTGGGAAAAGAGGTGTGAGGAGTTGGTCTTATTCAATTTTATTTTTAAGCTGGAGTCAAAACTGAAATATACATTGATAATATTTGTCTGCCGTCTGTCAGCTTCCCTTAGGGCTTTTTTTTTTTTTTTTTTAAGCTCTAGCAAGAGAAAAAATTTGTTTCAAGTCTTGTGCTTGATTTCTCACTTCAGATCTGAGTACCTTTTAGTTTCTTTCCTTCCACAGAGCATTTCAATTGCTGTCCATCACTTCCTCAGAAGCCTCAATATTGCCATTCCAAATGACTCTTTGTTTGTTGATATGACTGCAGTGAAGGACTGGTGCACCTCCTACAACAGAACATGCAAGTCAGGTCAGTGTAAGCCAGGTTGGAGTACTGAGATGAATTTAAAAAGATTTGGAGTTGAATTTAATAGTGATGGACCATAACTGCATTTTCAGGCTTCATATATATTTTTAAACTGCAGGTTTTCTTAACGTTTTAGTTACTGGCTTTTTTTTTTTTTTTGTAGCTGACTTTGTTTCTTTATGTTTATCTTTTGCAGTAGCTCTCCAGATAGTCTAAATATGTTTGTTTATGATCCTTGGAGGAATGGCTGGACACATGTTATAGATTCTCCAAATTTAGCAACAGTAAATTTCTGTAATCAGCAGTTATCTGCTTAAATTTCATTAGTAATATTTTACATTGCACAGAACTTCTGTCATTGTCTCAGTCTCTCACTGTGATTACGGAGGAAAAATTGTTGACACTGTTGTGAAACAGTTAACAGATAATACCCTTTTTTTCCTCAAAGCTTGTGTGCTTGACCTTACCCATAATTTACAACCAAAACTGCAGAGCAGCTCTAGCTATCTCTGTTCAAATAATCTTCCTTGTGCTCAGAAAATTATCCAAAGCACTGTGTCTTTTTAATGCACATTGATGCTAGTCTTAAAAATATTTAGCTGCTTGGTAGAAGATAGGGGAAGATTTATGGTGAGAGTGCATAAGCTTGATCCTGAATGACTGCACCTTTCTGTGGTGAAGTGATGCTAATTTATTGCTGCATTACAGTCATTTAATAATAATAAATAATGCTTAAAAGAAAACCCACAGAATTGTTAGGTCAAAAAAAATTGCTTTTTAGAACTGCAGTCCTAACTGTGAGTTCAGAGTCTTACTGTTACTTCCAGATAAAGGTAATTAAGGTATATATTTCTCTCCATTCTTTTTGCTCTCTGGACCACACAGTAGCCTCAATTAAGTTGAGAGCATTAAGTGATGTCATAGGCTATACCCGAACCGAGTAACAGTGCAGTCATTGCCAAAAGTGCACCAATATCTTTAAAATAATGCTTAGAATTGATATTTCAATTGAATCTTTCCTCCTTTTCTTGTTATCTGCGTGTCACTGAAAGCAAAGGCTGTGAAGAAGCCCTTTAGTCCTAAATATTCATGTCAACTAAAGCAGCCAGCAGAGAGGGATGGCAGAATATTTGACTCGCATCTATTTTAAAATGTAAGTTTTAAAAATGAACAAGGGCTATAAATTCCTGCATGTTTGCAGTATAAATATTACAGTGTTGAGCAAGCATAAGACAAGAAGTGAAACTACTATTGTTTAAACTGGTGGGGAAAAAAGTAAACAGTGCATTATCAAGAGTCAGCTACATACACTTTTAGATATCAAAACGTGGATGCTTAAGAATAGAAATGTTTGTTTTTCTTCATTCTGCGATGACAGTGTCTCTTCAATTCTGTCTTTTTCACAGAGGTAAGGAGTGCTGGTATCCCAGATTAATTTGATAGAAAGTATGTATTTGAAGCAAGCATTAACTGTTAATATGCATGTTTGTGCTGAACAGTGTTTGGGTGGCACTGACTTGTGGTCTGAAGGGGCAGCTTTGCAAGTTTACCTGCAGTGTAAAAAAAAAAAAAAAAAAAATCTCACTGCAAAATGTCAGTCATATGATTAAGTTATGCTCTTCTAGGAATGCACACAACAGAACACATGTCAGAACTGCTGTCTGCACACAACCCCATCTCACATCGGCTTAAAGGGGTTAAACTGGGAGAGCTTGCACGTGGGGAAGTACTTTCTGATGACTGTGTTATGGGTGTTACATAGCACTGGTGGGAAGCAGTGCCGTGCTTCAGACTTGAAACTCTGAGAGCCTTCCAGTCTTTCACCCTTCGTTCTCTAGTTTTAAACTGCAGTGAGGTTGGAAAGGGTGACGGTGAACAGTGAAGCTGTGCTTTCGTCGTGCATCTGCGTAGCTTTGCAGTGATGAACAAGTAACCCAAACAAAGAAATATGGCTGTGTGTGAATGGTGTCTGACTATCAACGTGGAAGGTGCGTTGGCCAAGAAGTATCAGGAGAGAGCTGTTGGTGTCTGAGAACAATGTGCCAAGTAAATGTTTAAGCTTATGGCACATTCCTGGGCATCTGACACGATGTACTATATTTAATAGGAAGGCGTTGGTTTGGTTTATTCCAAATCACCGGGCTGTCAGATTGCTGGCTGGTAGCAACTCTTTGAATATAACTTGTTATTTAAATTAAACTTATGAGTAGCTATAGTGGCCACAGATTCACTTGGAATTGATTTTCACGGGATTCAGAAAGAAAATGAATTGGTGTTATCATAAAATCTTAACCATAAACCAATAAAAAACTGATGGCAGTATTTTACATTAGGCTGTTCTTGATACATCAACTGAAACACTGAAATCAAGAAAAGGCTTTCTGACCACCACCTTTTTTTTTTTTTTTTTTTTTAATTTTTGTTTTTTATAAGCAGTTTCCCTGCTTTTCTAATTTCATTTTCTATTTTTTTTCTTCCTTACTTCTCTGTACATGTAAAGAGCCTCCTTCATTGGTATTTAAATTCCAGCTCTTCAAAACTCTTCTATCTTTCTCAGCAGAGCTCTTGTTTGGAGGGGGCCTAGTGGAGAGACCTGGTGAAGTTATCTGTACACACAATCCCCTGCTTTTACTGAGGCCTCCTCAGTAATTTGTCCCCCAACAACAGCTGAAGACATAAGGATAGAGGTAGGAAAAGCACTCATTAGCATGACTGTGTCAGCTTTGTGACTACAGCACAGAGGTACAAGGCTTTGTGCAAATGCTCCTGGATATCAGTAAACATCTTGCTTAATTGTCTGTATGCTTTTTATCTTGGTCTTCCTCCTTTCATCCTTTTCCTGTTTTTCAACCCTTTCTCTCAAATATGTCATCTTCAATTGTAACTTGTTTCTAGTCATTAAAATGCATTTTTAATAGCAAAGTAGAAAATGTATACTCGTGGTTTTTTGTTTTTGATTTTATTTCTTGTTTGGTAGAGATTTTTAAAAAGTAATCCTATAATGCATGTAAAGTTTTGTATTCGTGTTTGGGGAAGGGGGGAAATTACCTGCCAGTTCTCTTAAAGTACTCACTGGGGAAAATAGCGTGATAGTTCTGCCAAGTCTCCATCTCGTGGGGGGCGTGTAGTTTAATTTTAGAGGGATTTACTTATGTAGGAGAGGAGGGGGGGTTAATTTAAAAAAAAAAAAAAAAAAAAAAAGCCCACTCATTCTTAAGCTAGAAAGCTAAAAACAACCAGGCAATTAGGCAACTGAAACAACAGTATCTAATTTAACACAGTTTACAAATTAAGAATTTGGTCTGGATGTATAAATGAGAAATGTACTTCCAAAGGTATTAAATGTTGCAGCTGTCTTTTTAAAAAATCATTAAATTCTGATATCTTAAGGTAAAACTTGCAAGTAAAAGGCAGTATTTGCTCTTGTGAGAAATTTTCTTGTCTTTTCCCAGAAATGTTTAAGTGAATCTTTTTTTTCTGCTTTCTGGCTAGTATCTTTGCAAACATTCTTACCTTCTCTCCCATTGCTTTATGCACACACAGATGCACATACGTGCAGTGCATTATGTTCAGCGTAGTTTCTTTGAAGGGATGATCAGCTGTTACAACATACTGTTGCAGTTAGGTTCCTTTTGCCTTCACATTCAGATTCTGCATCACCACGGTGCTGGGTAAGTTGGGCCTCTGTAATCTAGCTTGCATATTAATGAAAGCAAAACGAGATATTAAGAGGGGAAAAAAATAAATGTATAAATAGTTGTGCACATACAAAATATACTGGAAATGGCTCTCTTATACAATCTCTAAAGTAGCATTAGTATGTTGATGGTCATATAAAGTCTTGTGTTGCTGCAGTGAACTATATTCCGGCAAATCTCATTTTTAATTGACACATCTCTACCAACAGACCCTTTTAGCAGAGGCTGTCCTGTTGTATTACTATAGGAGCAAACACTGGAAAGAAGGGAAGGAAAACTTACCAAACTTTCCCACCTGTGGCCTGCAAAACTGCTTTGTGCTTACACAGTCCTGTTAATTTAAGAGGGTGATTTCATCCTGCACTGGCTCTAAGATTCTTCACAGTGGAAAGAAGTACTCAGGTTGAATCTGTGTAAGTAGCTTTTCTTAAAATAATTTGGTATTTTAAAAAAAATAATAATAATCATTTTTTTTATGTAGGGAACTGTGAAAGTACCGTAGACGTTTAAAACACTGATGTACTTGAGCACGAGAGAAAAAGGTATTTGGTGAGGATGTGAACTGAGGTTTTTCACCTACATCTTCAAATAAAAGCAGTGTGATGGTTTGGGCTGGAGGCAGATAAGCTGCTACAAGCTACTTGCTAACTTTTTTTTCTCCTCAGTAAATATTCACATAATCTTTCGTCCCTCAAATCAGATGCCATTGTCCACTTTCTGGTTTGTGGCCCATTAAGGTCTCATGTACAGATTTCAATAAAGTCTAAAGCTTTGTGTAAATAAACAAGCAGCTTGGCAATGTTTTATAAGGATTTTGTAGTTAATACAGTTCACGTCAATACACAAAAAACTGTTGTTCAACACAGTTCTGCATTTAGCTCTCAGCATAGGTTTCTACATCCTCAAAGTGCAGTAGACACCTTGGCATAACGTAGCAGCACATAATGGTTTGTGGGTTTTGAAAAGGTGCAGGCCATATTGTGCTGCCTCAAAAATACAAGGATTTCATCATCCTGAAGAGAAATGTCATTTAGGCATTAGTCAATCTTGTGATGCTGATGTCTGTCATACTCTAGCAGCACGTAAATATTGGTGTTAAAACTGTAAATATCTCCAGTATTAACTGTGCTGCTGAAGTAAGGCTAGCCACTTCTGCATGTGAGTCATGAGAGAAAACGTTTGTATTTCCTGAAGCTGCTTTGTTGTTGCTTATATGTCGATTGTTTATGAACATTTTCTTGGCTTGGTTTGTGTTTTCATCTAGTCGGTAACAATATATAGGAATTGAGATTATCTGATGGCAAATGTGGAGTAGGTGCATATGTAGTCTTGACTGCTTTGGTTTACATGAAAGCTGAATTTATTAAAGGAGTGATCTCAGCCTATACCTGTCTAACAGTGCTTTGGTAAGTGTGTTTTTATGTATATTTATGTATATAATTATAACAATGACATCGCTTTAAATGCTAGTTGTATCTTTATTAAGACTCCTGTAACTATGTTAATTTTTACAGCATTTTCTTAATGGCTGGAAATTGGGAAATGTTTAGTGATATTTTTAGTGAAGTGAGCACATACAGCAGAAATACCTTCCAAAATTACTAATGAAACTTATTCAGATCTCAGATTAAATCAAGCATTCTTAATTCATTTCTTAAACTACAAACAGCTGAAAATTCTAACCCTAAAACTGTTAACTATGTAAGTGACTGTGAATTACTAATTCTTTTCTCATCTTCCACTGACACGTTTCTTTTGCAGGGGAATCTTTCATTGAGACAATTGAAATTGCTGCAGTGAGAATGGAAATTACTTGGGATCCTTTCCTTTTAAAAGCTGTATGCAAGAACTGTGTGGTGAGTCAAACTTGGACTAATGGTTATGTAAATGACACTAATTTTAGATACAGGCAAGATCTGAAAGTGTTTCCTTTCAGAATTTTATTTTCTTCACTGTCATGACTCAGTATGACTTGCTAATCTTGTTTCATTAGCCCTGTTATATATTGCCATTAAAACACTTATTTGAAGACTGCATGTGTTTTAACAACTTCAAGTTTATACATCGTATAGATGTTTTAAATGGAGGGAGGGAGGGAAAAAAGGTTTTCTGCACTGGGGATTTTTGACTCCAGAGATCTGCTACTGGTGCAGCTGCACAGGTACAAACATGATGTATATGAATATGAATGCAAGTTGTTACAATTAATAAATTTGCATTGCTTTACCACTTGGATGTTCAGCCCAGTATACATACTGGTGAAAAATCACTTTTTTTTTTTTCCTGCCTCTGCTATGGATTTGAAATAATAAAACTACTTTTGACTAAAACTTTCTAATTTAGTTCAACCTGAGCACTTCTCAATAGTAAAGCTATCCAGTACTAAATAGCTACAGTACTAAATAGTACTAAAAGTATCCATGCTTCTGTGTGCCATTTACCTACTACTTGTCTCTTGAGATGCACAGCCAAAATGAGGATGACTACTCAAAAATGGTTATCTGGCTCAAAGTTGGGTAACTTATCTGTAACCGTGCACTGCTGCAAACTGCAGTATTTGCCAAGGGCCATCCATGCTGTCACTGCCATGGATCCAATGTTTAATATCTCTGGGCTGTATCTCTGAGATTTCAGAGGGGGTAGATGCAAATCTAAAAAGCCAGTTGGAAAGATCTGAGAGCATGCAACGAACAGATCTGTTTGCATGGCATTGCTGTGTGAATGGTGAAACAGACTTTTTCTGGTTCTTCACACAAGCCCCTGTACTGGCGCAAGGCAGAGAGTGGGAAGCAGCAGCAATATGAGCTTGCCTTTCTTTGTTTAGCCATAAAGGCTAATGGGGATGAAAATACAACTTAAGCATTTGCAGAAACAAGATTCAAACAAGGAATGAAAGTTCCAGTTTAGTTTGATTGTCAACAGTATGATTTCAAGTGCTTGTGAAGACCTATCCATGTTACTTGGTTTCTAAACCTTTGAGAAGAATGTCACTTTTTTTGCATGGTTCATAGTTGCCTTACATATTAGCTGTTATGTTTTCCAGAGATAAACCTGCAAGGATGCACTGTCTCCAGTGGTGGAATGGAACTCTCCTACATTTGCAGCTCTGAGGTCCTATGGATTTTGCCTGATTAAAGAAAGAAAGGTGTATTATATTCAGTCCAGATGCTGCTAGTTTAGGAACTGTGAGGGGAAGCAGATGCTTAATTATAAATAAGGGAAATAAAAGAAAGGCCTGCTTGAAAATATCTTGAGATTAGTTGCTATTCAAGAGTGAAGACAGCTGGTGAGAGGAGCATGTCTGAAACTCCTGTGTTTGAAAGATTGGAGCTGCAAACTGGTAGGGGAAAGAGATGTGAAATTGGAAAGTTGGAAGGACTGGTACAGGTTGGGCAATGATTTAGGGATTCATTTGTTTCTTGAAGATGGAAGAAGCAGCAGCTTAGCAGAAGGAACCCTGCCTGATACTGTAAAAAGAAAGCAGGGGAAAGCAGGTCAACGTTAATGTTTATTAGAATGCTTAGCACTTGAGTCAGGCTGCGACATAGCAGTTTTTGCTATGAAATCACTGTCCCTTTCATTTCTCATCCAAATCCACAGAGAAAAGGGTGTCTTTATTACTATAGTCAGCTACTTCATGAAATTTCATCCTGAAATTCAAAAATTACAAAGTAGTTGATGTGCTACTGGAGATCATCTAGCCGAAGCAGAATCAGGCAGAACAGGCCTCTCAGGGGTGTATCTGATCTTAATTTGCCCCCTTGTGTTAGTCTACTATGAAGCAATCTTCATGATCATATGGAATATTCAATGATAGGACCAGTGTGGTGTGCTGCTGAGTCAGGGAAGGTGTTTGTAAGGCTGTACAAGGAAGAAGTTCAACTCTGCCACAGAAATAGGTTGAAAATTCTGTAGGGAATGGACCAAAGTCTACAAGCAGAAGAAACTTTGTCTTTATGTTTACGTGAAATGAGAAATCCTAGGAATTAGATGTTACATTTATTTTTCTGGTTTTATTTTTGTACGGTGTACAAATTACCATTGATTTTTGTAGTGTTATGTTCCTCACTTCACAAGTGGCTTTAAGCCATCAAGTCCAATGGAAACACTGGATGTCCACGTTTGCAGCTGATCTGCTTAAGAACTGCAAACATGAATTTAAACTTTGTGTAATGTTATGTCTGCCTGTAGTCTCCTACATATTTCAAGTGGAATACCTCCAACCGTTGGGTACTACTGTAGTTTCTATATCTTTGTGTCACGTTTAAAGTAGGGATGATAGTCACTCGAAGGGTTGTTTATCTATTTTTGCTTATTTCAAGCTTTGTCTGTTAGTTGTGCTACAGGGATGTGTTTCCTCATGGGATTTTCTATGGCATTTATGACTTCAGATCACAGAGGAAGAGGTGAGTGTTGTCTGTTACCTTGTTAGCAGTTCAAGTAGAATCACTTGGTTAGCACCCTAAGCAGTTTATTTCCATTGGCAGTTATTTAACAGCTCTCAGGTACAGCTCTATTTTTCAGAATCTGTCTTGCTTGTAATAATGCTGTGTTAATAAACAAAATGTAACATATCTAATATTGCTCCCTTTTCTTACTGTAAAATTTGATCCCTGCCTTCAAAATTTCTGAAATAAATATTTAATTATAGTAACATGTATCCAGACAGGATCTTCAATCTTAGGTAGATAGTGCTGACCAACTTAGCTTCTGATGAGAGATAGGAATCATATTGTAGCCGTACTGTTGTGGTTTTTTTTTCCTGTTGCTTGTAACTGCAGGAGATGCCATAAATGAACCATGGGTTCTGCGGGGTAAGCATGTGGCTCTGCATAAAGGGATCTTTTATTGGAAGCTTCAGTGCTTTGAAGTAGTTTAAAAGGCATAGTATTTTAAAATCTACCATAAAATACTCTGAAATCTTACGTAGTTCTGATCTTATAACACGTAAGGCATAAATCATAGAACACAGTCTCATATGCACACACTTCTAATAGTTTGTTGAAATAAAGGCAAAGAAAATGCTTCAGAGATTCTAGCTGGTCCAGTAATATAATAGTAGACAGAAACAAATGAGTGTGGTACTTACAGTTCTGTGATTCTCAAGCAAGACAAATTTGGAGCTGACAGAGTCTTCCTGTTCCCCTCAGTATTAGCCTGGCTCTGATGTTTCCATGGTGGTTTCACTGGTGACTGGGTTTGATTTTTGGTAAGCTCAGCTGGCTGAATGTGTGTGTTGTGAGAGTGGCAGTGCTGGCACCAAGGAAAAGTTCCCTCCACCCTCTTGAGAATGGCAGTCCAGAATGATCCAGAAGTTAAGTTTGTTTCATTACTTAAACCAGTGTCAGGAATATTCTGGGCCGAAGCCTTCCTTTCTTGACACTCCTACTGACTTCACCTATCTGTTCCCTAAATCCTTCAAAGGAGTTTACAGGAAAATGTAGTCCAGGACCTGTATGTGCAGCATGAGAGAAACATGAATAGAGGCAGTAGGAAAAAGAAAAAAAAAAAAAAAAAAGCAGCAATAACTGCTTTCATAACTATGGGAAAGGCCAGGAGTTTATAGGCTTCAAGAAAAAAAGATGTTTGCCTCTTGCCCGCTCAGAAGTTAGCATAGCTGTCAGTATTCACTGCGTGCTTTGGTGATAATTGGGAGGAGTCTCTGAACAAAGAGAAGACAACTATTCAGTGCTGAAGGGGCTGACAGCATCCTTTTCTACTTTTCCTTCGGAAGAAGAATATCTTTACATAAAAATAACACGAAAATGCTCACATACACGTGGATTCCTAGTGTATGGAAATGGCTGTGACACCTTTCCTACCATCAAGCTTACGTGCAAGTCCGTCACTCTTGCAATAAGCAATATGTTAATTTCAGACATCAATAAAAGTGCTGACTTTCTATATATGCATATGAAGTGAATCTTAAGACATCAGAATAAGAATGGTTGTGTCAGCCAAAGATAAAAACAAAAAAGAGCTACCATGTTGTTACCTGCAGGTTATTTAGGAAGTTTGCTTGTCTGACCGTAGGTTGTATGGTTGGAAAAGGTTTTCTAGGCTGAAAATGTAACATCGTGTAGCCAGACAGCCCCCTGTTGGCTGTATTGTTGTGGAGGCTCCAGGAACAAATTGTGCTCAAATCCAACAGCTCGTTGCACTCAAGCTGTTTTTTGAGTGCCCTATCTCAAATAGCAAAAATAGGAGGGGAAAAGGTGTGAAACAGTTACTTGTGAATCAAGTTTTATTCCATCTGAATAAGGTAAATGTCAGAGCTCAGTTAAACAGTGCATCCACGTCCAGTTTATTAATGGCTTTATAGAAGCCCAGTTTTAGAGAGATGAGAGGAAAATATAGTTGGGACTTTGTCCTTGTGATCAAAATCTAAGACTAGGCAGACAGATGTGATAATGTGATAATGCCTAGTGTTTAGATTAACTTCTCTTAAGAATGCAGGTAATGGATTTTAAAACTCACGTTTGCCGACTATCTGTGAACTACCAAGGTATAGATTCCAGCCTTATTTAATGATTGGGATTCTTGAAGGCCTATCTACAACATCTTCTGCTATTTAGTCAAGTGTAATTTTACCAAGAGGCTTGCTTTTTAGTTATTCATTTCTGCTTTTCTTCATTCTTTTCTTAAGTTGCTACATGTGCAACAAGCTGGTTACTTCCAGTTGGTGTTTTCCTGTCTATAAGGACATCAAAAGCCCTTTTTTTACCCAAACAAACAAAAAAAAACAACCCTAAAATACTGGAAAATAAAAGGACATGTATTAAGTATTAACAGTTAATAAAGGAAACCAAAAACCAGTCTTGTAATTGTCACTGTATATCCATGTAGCAATGGGATAATGGATGCTGTATGTATAGATACTGTATGGAAGCAGTTAGTGTCTAGAACTGTATGGTGTATCCTTGCTCAAAAGGCACTGTTCATGGTGGAAGTGGGTGACCTGTGGAGAATTCTCAGGACAACGGGTGACTCAAGAAAATTTGTCAAGAATAATTCTGTTTCAAAGGCACTTCTGCCCTGCGTTAAGCAACACATATATATTTTTTCTTCATCGGATGTGGATGAGGGTATGAAAGTTCATCTTCGTTTGAAGAACTGGATTTTTGGCTGAAAATCTGGAGCTATAATGCTTGTAGAGACACCAGTGTGAAAGTAGCCTTCTAGGACAGAAGGGTACAGCATGATAAATTGAAAATTGAAATGCTTAAGGACTCTTTCTTTCTCCTTTTCAGATGAATTATAATCTGGTATAACAGTTGACAGTAACAAGAGAGGGCAAGGATATACGCTGTGCTTGAAGAGGAAGAATGGGAAAGATAACAGACCCAAAGTCACTAAGCCTGGTGAGCTGCTTAAATATTGGCATGTCCACCTAAAATCTTTCAGATCAGTGTAAGATATTGGCTGAAGCAGGACCAGGAGGCTCACCTGGGAAACAGAGAACCCAGGTTTCAGGTTCTTCAGAAGTCGGGGGGGGATTCAAGTTCACATCTCCTGCTTCTGAAAAATAGTACTTGGGGAAAGTTGCCCACAGATGTTCCTCATCTTTCTTGTTAAATCAATGATATGTGCAGAAAAGCATAGAAGTCACAAAACGATTTTGTTCAATGGTTGTTGGCAGTGATAACTGTTAGCATTACCAGATGAAAGCAAGCTGCAGGTAGGATTTCAAAGGGTAGTGGAATTTGTTTTTCTTGGACTAACTGCAGTTCTTTGCAAGTTCCATATTCTTTTAAGATGTTTCCTAAGTAATAGTAAAAAAGATCATACAGTAAATACAAGTGCCCATTAAAACATGCTAAAGGAATACCTTATGTTTCCAGTAGATGAACACTGAGATAGTTGAATATTTGTGAACTAGATCACAGATCTCTGTTATGCCAAAGTTCTATTTTAAGTTGCTGGAGAGAGCACCAGTAAAGATGTCCTTAAACTGCTTTATACTCTTGGGTTTTCTACAGCTGCTGAGGAGGGGAGGTAACAGAATTAAAGAAAGGTTGCTCAGCAATCAGCAGTGATTCACCTCTTCACTAGTCTGGATTGCTTTTCTTTTGTTTTTGACAAGAAGGTTTTACACTCTCCCTCCCCAATTAGTGTGATTGACGAATGTCTGCTCTGGGTAAGAGATTGAAGCAACTTGCTGTGAACAGAGAAGCTACAACTCCTCTTTTTGGGAGTGGTTACTTAATTTCCAAACTGTCATTAGACTATAAGACAGCCTCAAGGCTTGTGTGTAATTTATACTTCATTCAAGCAATTCTAGTAGCTTAAAATAAAGTTTACTTGGCAAAGCTGTGATAGCATGATCCTGTTATTTTATGCTTATTCAGGCATAAAGTAAGTAGCTTTTGAAAGATACTGCCTTACTCTATGAAGGTATCCTCAATCTGTTTCTTCCAAAACTGCACATTTCTCTGAGTGTTGAACTATGAGCAGCCGGCCAGTGTAGGGCAGTGGATATTTCTAAAGGTAATTGACAAATTCTTGCCTGTATCTCTACTTTTTCACTTTTGTTTCAGACTTCTTATAAAAATAGTGTCTGTTCCTGATGATTTGTGGTGTTTGTTTCCCAGGCTGCCAATAGGGTCTTCCTTTGAGACTTCTAGGCCTAAGTGAAACTCCTCTGATTCCTCATAGAGCATATACTCTCAGGACAGGAATTTGTCACCCTCTGTATTAAAAGCAAGTCATGTGTCTTGAACTCCTTTTAAATTTGCCTCATTTTGGCACTACGTAGACAAAACAAAACAAAAAAACAACCAACCAACCCTGAATTCTACTATATAAGAATACTTCTACTTATTCTTCTCTCTGTACATTTGTATCCAGGCTCCATATTCAACCATTGGTACCTGTGCATCTGATGTTCTTGTACATGGGTATTGTTCTGCATCACATGTGGAAGCAAAAGCTGTAAATCAGTGCATAAGCAGTGTTAATCTGTCCAGCCCCTTGTTCTCCAGACTGACAGTGACTGAACAGAGCTCTTCATCAGCCTGTGATATAGCAGGTGGTTGTTTATTATTCACTAACTTGTACTTAAGTCAGCACTTAAAGAGCTGCTAAGATGGGTTTTAGAAATAGTAATGTTTGTTATTTTCCTGCTGAATGAACTGCTTTAGCCTGGGAAGAATTTCATATCAGTACATACCTCATGAATGGGTACAACTTAATGCTTAATGTTCAGAGGCATACTGCATAATGTGGCCCTGTTATTAAGGGCTGTCTATGTAAGATACAGCTTACTTGGTTTGAAGAGCATTATCTGGATCTTCAATGAAGGCCAAAACATCTTGCCTCAAGATGCGACAAGTGATACAGGCACCTTGTCTCCGGTTCTGGTTTGCCTGAGCAGAAACACTGAACAATAGCAGAACCTACTTGTTCTTTCCATTTTGTGCTCTAGGCTGTCAGCAAGTCTCCTAGAATGCCTTGGCCGTGATTAGAGGGTGACAAGGAACAGAACTTCTGCAAAATGCATCCTAATTTTCTCCTTGCATGTAATTTGTTTGGAAGGTAAGCACAGCTCGTACCTAGGAACACTAGGAAGTTTTATGATGCAGGTTTGGAGCTACCTTGACGTTTCATGGGATGTGGTCTGCAGTCTGTGAATCCATTAACAGCTGTGTTGTCAGAGCAGAAATCATCAGTGGTGATGATACTGGAATTAATTTGAATGAGGTTGAGTCACTTTTGGATTGTTCAGTTAAAACCAAACTAATCAGTCCAGCACTCCATTATCAAATCTGGCTCAGACCCTTAGAAATCTCTATGGGCACTCATACTTCTGTGATGATTGAATTGTTTTCTGTTCTGCTGGTACTGAGATACTTTTCTGAAAGTCACCAGGTCCCAGTAAGACCAGTTCCATGGGAAATAGTCCTGTGCTCAGAATTGGAAAAGGACAGAAGGATCCTCCTGTAAAGTTCTCTTCAGCTGGATGTTCTACGTTAGGTAGAGGCACTAGCTGCGGTTCAAAGTAGGATGCTTATAGAGATGGAAACTTGCTGCATTTTTCAGCACCTCCACATTCTCATTGGTATTTATTAAATGACAGGGGTTCTTGAGATGCCATCCGGATATTTGACTTCAGTCTTCAAAGAAAGCCTGTTTTTGCCATGTCACAGATTGAATTGTCTCTGTCTCTGTCTACACCATTCATTCTTACTCTCACCATGGCAGCTCCTGACTTGTTACCTGTTACTCAGTACAAAGTCTTCAATTGGCAGAAAGATTTACCAGATGCTAGAGACATTGCTGAGTGTGAACAGACTCAGTGTTGTCTCAGGCCAGCTCTCACTGGAAAACAGTCTCCGAACACAGCAACAATTGGAACTTAGAGTGACGGGGGAAGCAGATGAACTTTTCTATCTGCTGCTACTCTTCTGGGAGGGAGAGATCCAAGCTAAATAGGGTACTGATAATTAATTTTTGTGAATAACAATTTGAAGTGGTAGAAGTGGCCACAGACATAGAATCACTCAGGTTGGAAAAGACCTTAAAGATCATCAAGTCCAACCATGAAGACATCTAAGAAGAAATTCAGAAGAACAGGAATCCCTGTCTTCATATCCTGAATGTGTTGGATATGAACCCCTGAAAAATGTTGTCGTGCCCTTCGGTCATCGTGGCTGTGTCATGTTGCTGTGAGTAGACAAGAAGTTGGGTTTTGAACCATCCACAGAATTGAGGTTATCAAAACCATAGCAAAGTTTAGGAATTTGCTAGTAGGGTGACTGCTTTCCACTGTGCAACTGGATTGGAAGCAAAAGCCACCAGAAGGGAACGTCCAAGTTAGCGGAAGTATCACCCCAGTGCAGCCGAGGCAGTGCTGGTATCCAGACCTTCAGTGCTTGTCTGTGCAGCCACCAAAAGCCCAGTCACTGTTTCCAGATGTGGGGTATCACGATGACTGATTCAATGTCTGGATCCTGCAATGGCTCACTTCCAGTGCAGGTACAGAACTGACCTCAAGAGAGAATTTGTTCTTCAGATACGCAAAGCATCAGTGCAAGCTGTTCTGCAGAGCCACTCATCTAGCAAATTCTAAGTCCCTACAGTCTTTTATATGTCTGTGTCCCACCCTACGTCTTCTGTGCCTTTTCCAAGTTCCTGTAGCAGCTGTCACCCACCCATTCATTCAGTCTATCAGATCTTCTGCTTTTCCTTGTCTGACAGTGTTGGAACTTCTGGCAGCTCAGCTAATTCTCCTTTCAGTGCAGTAGAATCATAGAATAATTTTGTTTAGAAAAGGGCTCTAAAGTCATTAAGTCCTACCATTAACTTAGTACAGTGCGTACGCTTCCTAAGCACCACCAGAAAGTGGATTCCACAAAGGTACTGAGTCCCTCCAGCCCTATGTTTATCTTTTATCTCCTCTGCAAAAGGAAAAGTAAATTGGGTTTGCTCTCTTCTTTGGTCTCTATCCACTCACTCTCTTCCTCTGCTCTGCCAGTGATCAGTCCTAGGAGCAAGCTGGAGGGCTTATAATGGCATGCAAGGACTGAAGAAGGATCAGCACGTGCTGTGTAATGTCTGTTGCTGAATCACTGAATTGTAGGGATTGGGAAGGAGCTCTGGAGATCATCTAGTCTAACCCAATGGCATGCCTGTCAATGACTTTTATCACACATTTATCACGGGTGGAAAGCATAGAGCAGTCCTTTCAGAAGGCCTTCAATGAGTGCTGCAGACTGCCTTTGAAATTCAAAGAAAATTGAGTTCCTAACACCAAAGTATGAGTAAAACCCCAGAGTTGATGTTTCCGATCCACTGCCTTTTTTCCAACCTAGAATGAGGATGGAACAATGCTGCAACATTTAATTCTCAATTTCTGCAAGCACTCAGCTGGCTGTTGTGGCAGTAACTTGCTTAGAAAGCAAAGCACTAAATTCATTCTGCAAAGCAGATTTGTAGACATTACTGTTTCCAACCTTTAGGGCAACATTCATCATCTTTCTAACCAGAAAGAAGCCACCAATTACTGAGCCACTGCGTGAGAATGGAAGTGGAGTAAGAATTCCTGGGGAAATTTACACGTCAGATCACTCTTAGAGATAAAACTTCGGGGGGTTATTTCAGCAGCAACGACATTATGGTCCAGAATGCCGACGTTCCCTCTTTTTTAACAGAAGTCAGATTTATTTTGATTTGACATGATGACTGGTGATTTACATCCCGCCCACCCATCTGAGAGTACTCTGAGCTCCAGGCACATCTCCAGCCATTTCCAGACTATTCACATCACGGTTGGTCCATCCATTCGCTAGTCACAACAAGGCCTTCTGTGACTAATTATGGCCTGACTGCAGCAGGAGATGCAGCTTCAAAGAGTGGGAATCTT